TGTGTCAACAAGCTTCTCCTCCTTTCTCCCATTCTGCAGACGGCAGCAGTGACGGGAACCCTTCCACACCCGGGGCACAAAACACTCCGGAAGTGAGAACGCTGCCACCAAACAGCAGATATCACACCTCATTGGAGTCCAGTTATCCACCAGACCTTCACAAACCATCACGCCAGGAGGAGGCTGTGCGTGGCCGAGACGGGGACAGGAACAGGGACAGGGCTGGGTCAGAGCAAATGGACTACCAAGGCCGGCAATTTAACCCCCACCATCATCACACCTGGAATAACAATCATAGTCAAAGTACCCCCAGTCAGCAGTCTCCAGAGACCAACAGCAGCAGTGGCAACAAGAAGAGCCGAGGCCGCAAAGTAAAGAAGTCAGAGTCCGAGAGTGGCATTTCTAAACTCCTTAAGACTCTGAGGAAAGACAGCTCGGGGAAAAAGGCTGCAGCTGCTGAGAAGCAGAGAGGGCGAGAACTCTCAGGCAGCAGTTCCACTTTGGACGGGAGGTCTCGTCAGCAGCGCCGTGGCTCTCTTGACCGCTCACCTACCCGCAAGCGTGCCTCATCTCCTGACCGTCGTCGGGCCAAATCGATGGACCGCAGGGCAGAGCGTGCCCAACGGGATCGCACACCTGAAAGGGAGCACGATGATGGAGGGTTCCTTGCAGTCACCCCTGAGCGCAAGTTCTACGATCGGAGGCTCTTCAAGGACTCACAGATGGCTGGGCTAGTCAGGGAGGCTTCAACCCCTGAGCGCGCCGCCAACAACAACGGGGATTCCCTCTCTCTTTCCAGGGGCCGTACATATGAAAGAGCCACAAAGAACGGCAACCTCTTTAGAGACTCTTCTTCAGAGAGGAGGGAAGAGGGATATCAGATGAACGGGACGCCGGAAAGACGATACAGAATGGAGCGGGACTCTTCCCCTGACAGCAACTACAGCCGGGACGAGCTGAACTATGCAGCAGCACCCAGACTGAAGGACTACTACAGCATGATGAAGAACAATGCTGCACACAACAACGCTGCCTACAACAACACAGGCCATAACAATAACGCTGTCGGCCACAGCCCGAACCAGCTCCCTGAGCCCAAGAGACGGCTGTACAAAGAAAGCCCCAAAGACCTCAGCATCTAGAGCAGAGCCGAGATCCCCCTAGCCACTCTCTCCTCTATCTGTGCAAACTATGTACCATACACTGGAATTGGACTTCTGAGGACAAGAACTCTTGTGCTTTATTTGGTCGACTGGTTTTTTTAATTGATTTGATTGACTTAACTACTTGTGATCCCATCCAGAGATTCATAAAACAGCAGGAACACAATCCTTCTATCAGTTCACACTGGTTGTTTTGTCTAGTTATTTTGAACATAACAGAAGTTGTTGTACGATAGTAAAGTTATTGTATGTGCCTGCATATCAAATCAGTGATATTGCTTTTTCTAGGCATTGCTGAATCTAAATATTTGTTCCCTCAGAGGTAAAAACATTCTTCCAGTTGTGGTGACTTCTTACTACTAAGCTTGTTTTCAACTCGTTTTTAGATGTCTTTTCCATTCCTCAATTGCTTTACTGAACAAACTATAGCACAAGACACTGATGGTTCACAAGAACTGTGAAAGTCCTGTTGGACTTGAGAGGCAAAAATCTAAATTTAAGATCTGATGGTAAAAGAAGAGTGATAATTATATAAATAATATATGGCTTTGTTGCATTTCCTCTCTATTTATTTTGAATTTGGCACATATCTTGAACAAGCTTTGTTAAATCTTTGAGGACCAAGGCTGAAGTGCACACTGTACCTAGGAAAGCATGCTGTGCCCTTACTTGTTTTGCAGCGTGGAAATGTGTGGCAGCTGAATCTCCTTTGAATGAAATACACCCACAAAAAGACGGAATCAGTCAACTGATGTGCAAAATTGGGAGTAGTGTTGTTAGATTCTCACTCGGAGAAGGATTGTAAAAATAGCTTTAATACTGTGGATCTTTTGTTCCTCAGTGTTTGCTGGTGTAGCATGTAAGGAACCTGACTCAGAGACAATAGCCTGTAGGCTATAGGTAGATTCTCTGCTGAGGGAAATTGATGGTTATCTAAATTTGTCTTCATTATGCCGGCTTAAAGCTGCCATAAAATTTGACTTATCGGATATGCCAAAAAGAGGAAATACAAACAAATGTGTAAATTATCCCTGTGCAAGTTGCATGTATAAGTTGAAGTGTAGTTTAACCACTTAATCTGTTGGAGTCTGCGCAAAGGTTATCAATAAGGCACATGCACTGTAACCCCACAGTAACTGTTGGCCATGTCCTCATGGGGATGATACACAAATTTGTGCACCAAACACCTCCTGGGTCCTGACACAAATAAGTGATGTGGTTTGTTGTGTTGGTAACATACGGCGAGTCCCGTTACAGGAGACGACCAATCTGCCATGCTGAGCCATGCTGTCACGCCACTGGAGTCTGACTGCTGCTTTATAATGTGTTTTGTGTGTATTCTCTGTTTTATGTTTCATTAGAGAACTTAAAATATATTGGATAATCCACAACAAATGCATTGTTTGATCACTGTCGTTGCCATGGTACTGTATTAACAAAAAAAGAAGAAAAGAAACACATTTAAGAACTTAATCTGTTGGCTATAACCTGTAAAGATTTTTTCCAATGTAACTATTAGGAACCTGTCAAGGATTAAAATGTTGCCTTTTTCTTGTACAAAAGAGAAATTTATGAAAACCTCAGCTGTGAGGAATGTGATATTGTGTTTATATCTCTGAAATGGACCTGATGATTTATGAGAAATATGTTGATTTACTCTGGGTCAGGTATGTAAAGACATTTTAAAAATGAAAGACTGTATTTGGTCAATCAAAAACTGTTTGATGGTTTGAATCTCTTGATGGTTAGCCTGCCTTTGTATTATAAAGCACTTGTATGCAGTCTGTGTTCTTCAAGCATTAGTTCTTGCAATGTGCTCTGGACATAATGCTGTCTCTGTGTTGATAAAAGCAGTACATGTATATGGGCCAATCTTTTTTTATAAAACTATGCATATATAAATACTACATTGTTCATAGCTTTATTTGACCCATGAAGCTATACATAACATTAGTCTAAGTACAAGTAGATGTGGACTTATCCAGCTTCTTTCCTTGAGATGGATTACAATGTATATGTAGCTATCAAAAGAAGTCTGTGAATGCTATTTTTATTATCAAATAAAGTTTTCCATACAAATTCAAAAGGATTTCATATTTCTGCACAGCCTTTTTTCAGTTAAGTCTCCGGAGAGGCTTTCGAGTTTGTACGCTTCTTTTGATCAAATCACTCTGGCGTGTCAGTCGTGATCATACTTTGCAGCTACAGTGACTTCACTTTATTTGAAGTTTGACACTGATGGAATTTTACTATTTTTAACAGAGATTTCACATTGGTTAACACTCTTAAAATCCATGTCAGTTACATGTAGAAAAAATTATGCATGTCACCTGCATGAGCTCTAAATGTATCGGCTTCCTTTTCTACCTAGAAATGCATTTCATCGTATTCACACAACACATCCCAGTGCAGTAACAGAATAAGGTTTAACATGTAGTCATACTAACTGCACACGCTGAAATAATGGAGCAATTAAGTCTTTTGTTTACATTTCATGAAAGACACAATTCTTAAGTATAAGTTGAGAAATGAATTGAGATGTACAGAACTGGGTAAAGACTTTATTTTTATTTTTGTCGTATTCACAGAAAGCTAAATGATATGTTGTTTTTTTAAAGAAAAATCTGAAGTTTGACATCCTTTCAGTGTTTTTCACATATATCTTCATTCAAATTTCATTATTAAAGAGTATGAATATGTGAGCCCAGTAATTAAGCTTTCCTGTTCTTGCGCCATATTAAAGCAGCCAGCAAGTGATAGCTATTTATTTCCCTAAAGCTCTCTGCTTGAGCTTTACATGGGACTGTTCAGTCAGAAGCTCTATTCCACTGATAGTCTATGTATAATCGTCGGGAGAGATTTTGAGGTATATGATTTTTCTCCAGTGTGTTGAGCTTCCAAAATAACACGTTATCAACCGAGTTTCTGCCATTTATTAGACTTGAGTTTGATCACAATAAAGTCTGGGGACTTTTGTGGATATTAACCTGGTTAAAAGGGGATTTCTCCTGATTGATTTATTACCCCATCGTTATATGCTATATGATATTAATTCCTCCGTTAGGACAGCAGTAGTCCCTACAGAGTAGGAGTATTGCTGAATTGGCATGTCTTTAAAGAAATTCCTTTATCTAAATGTTCTTTCATTTGATGTTATCATGAAAGCTGGAAATAAGTTTTTGTTCAGTTACAGACTGTTTTAAAAACTTCAATTATAAATGAAATAGACAACATGCTATAAAACGCAGAAGTTGCTGCATAGATGCTCAAAATTTTGGACAAAAGATGAAATGTTACGGATTCTTCCTTCAACAGCTTCTTAATTTAAAGGTCCACTGACTTGTGGGTGATATGAGTGCAGTGAAGAACACAAGTACCTGTTCTCGTTCTACGGCTTATCATCAAGGTGTCTCTTTGTAATAATAATTCTTGTTATCCAGTTAGTCTTTCTCTGTCCTAATCTTTAATTAATGTGATTAATATTCGTCATCAGATAAAGTTAGTGTTGATGAGTGTATTCATCCCTGATGAGTAATATCCTAATCCCCTTGGAAGGCCAGGTTCAAAATCCAAGGTGACCTGTGATTGAAATGTGATTACCGCAGCAATACAGATGCCTCTACAAAAGGTCAGACACTTTTTAAAGTTTTTGTATTGCTGTTAGATTTTACAGCATCAGCTTCTGGTGACTTAAATAATGGCTTAAGTAGAAATTGACTCAAGACATGCATGTATTCTGAACAGGTCACTCAATTTTATTCATTTGATTTAATAAACTACAGTCGTATGAACTTTGCCAACCGAATTGTAAGTAAAAAATAAACAGGATGAGTCATTTGCAAAGTGCGTTTTATTTTACATAGCCTTGATTACATGCCTCTAAATTCAAAAATAAGCCAGTATCATAAATTATCCAACTGTGTAGGATTAACATGTCTTTCCCGTTGCTCTCAGTAAAAGAAACATCTTATGGAAAGATAAGTTGGATATCCAGTACAAACAGAAAAAACTCTGTAATGGGATGAATTTTTCTGCAACTGTCTTTAGGTTGAACCAGCTTGTTGGTAAAAGTACAAAAAGGAAGTTAATTCTGTAAACATTAGCCTTCAGTCGTTTCCCTGAGGAGCAGAAGTCTTCTTCTTGGATAGTGGATGATGTTCGTCTGTGTTGATGGCCCCTTTTATGCAGGAGATACTGAGCTTGAGGAGGCAGAGGATGCCTCGGTCTTGGTAGAAGATGCTCCCTCCTCCTCCTCGAATGGGTTCTTTCCGCAGCACAAGGTGGTGATCATGCAGTTGCGGAACTGCTTGTTCATGCAGATGTAGATCATTGGGTTGTAGATGGAAGAACTCTTGGCAAAGAAGCTTGGAATGGTCATGAAGACTGGTCCAAACTCAGAGCCTTGATGTGTGAAGATCCACCAGGCCACACTAGCATAGGGCACCCAACATACCAAGAAGGCGATGACCATGATGACGACCATGCGGGTGACTTCCCTCTCTGCCCTCTGGGTGGTCTCAGACTCCTGCTGGGCAGCAGCAGCCTCCTTGACAGCGCAGAGCAAGCGGCCATAGCAGAAGAACACAATGATCATGGGAATGATGAAGTGGCAGGTGAACATGTAGACAACAAAGGATTCATTGTTAAAACCCTCTGCACGTGTGTAGTAGTCCACTCCACATGAGCACTGCATGCCCTCAGGAATGTAACGGGACCAGCCGACCAGAGGAGGCACAGCGCAAGCACTGGCCATAAACCATGTGCAGGCTAAACCCATGATTGCATGGTTCTCCCCAAAGCGGAAGTTGCTGATGGGCTTGCAGACAACCACCCACCTTTCAATAGCCAGAATAACCAGAGACCAGAGTCCTATCTCACCACCGAGCGTAGCAAAGAATCCTTCAACGTTGCAGCCAAGCCGTCCAAGGACAAAGTAACCATGCATAGAGGTGTACATCGTTGTGGTGAATCCTCCAAACACCATGAAGAGGTTAGCCACAGCAAGGTTCAACAGGATGTAGTTTAGAGGGGTTCGCAGCTTCTTGTGTTCGAGAGTGACGTACAGCGTGAGGAAGTTGATGGGGAAGCCGAGAAGGATTAGCAGGAACATGTAGGCGCCCAGGGCAGCATAGGCTGCTGGGTTGACAAGATAGTACTGAGGGTATTCATATGGACTCCGGACAATGCCAGTAGTGTTTAGCATAGGGACATAGAAGAAAGGTCCCTCCGTGCCGTTCATGTTTGCGGCTTGTGGTTGCGATCAGCCCTTCGGAGGTGTTTCTTCTGGCTCTTCAGGACAGTTATGTAGTGGAACATTGCAACAAATGGACCTGGTTGCTTTTAAAGGCACACCTTGGATTATCACTTTCCAAATCCGTCAGCACAAAGTGATTTAGGCCACAGTTAATAACTAATCCAGCCACCACTGCAAACATAACTGAACACTCATCAAGATATTAAGGTTACACCTGTTCATGCTATTATGAAGCTAACTGCTTATTTTAGAGCTTGATTACAATCTAGACTTATGTAAGTGACTTGTTTTTTGTGTGTGCACTGATTTTGAAAGATTTTATAAAGTGACTGTTGATGTACGTACATTTTTTCATTTCTTAAAGTTGTGTGACTTTTTCCAGAGTGCTCCTAATTCCATAAGAACCTTGACAGTTGAGGGAGTTCTAGCTCTTGATTTGTTCATGTATGTTTATTTCAACAATAATTTTAAGCCGTTATAGCTATGTGATGAACTGGGGAACTTGACTGGTTTAAAGGTGTCTCTCTTGATCAACTTGGAGATTCTCAAGTCTCCCTGATCTGAAGAGAATTCATAAAGCAATTTCTTTCATGACTTCTAATTTCAATCGAACAATCTAATCTTAGGTATATACAGTAATATTTGGCTTAGGCTATGGCTATCACTACTTGGTAAGGGTAGTCACAAGTCACAGCCACAGGTATGCATTTTATACAAAAAGCAGAAGTCAATCTACAAGACTACAGTTCACCCTCCACGCCAAAGCACAATATGCAAGAATTTGCCAAAGGACAAATAACTCTCTGGTGGGGCTACAGTTACAAAAATGATTTTCTTTATGAATCAATTTATATTAAGTGTAAGACAGAATATTTCAAGAAAAAATACAAACAAATGCAGAATAATATCTTCAATTGCTTGTTTTGTCCAAACGCCAATCCAAACCAAGTATTGATCATTTTATGTCATGGTCAGCAGCAAGTATTATTATAATACCAAACAATGGCTCATGGAATCTTAAAGTCAAAACATTATCCTAGATCCATTATCCTATTTATTTCTTATCGATGTCAAAACATAAAGTCAGGAAAGAGAGATAATATATTTAAATTCAAATGATTGAGGCAGCTCTAAAAAAAAAACACCCTTTGTTTGACCACAAAACATTTTTCAAGACGACTGAAAAGCTCATAAATTTCCAAAAGTTCATTCATGAGTCTTAGATTTACTTACAGTAATTGTTTGATTTTCTGTACTATAGTGGACCTAGAGCAGAGGCAGTGGTCTTGCTGAGTGGTGAACCATTTTAGCTGTTGGTAAAGAGCTCAGCACTTTCCTAATGGGTGTTGTATTAAAGAGATTTGGAGCTTATGGATGTTACTCTCACAGGCCTGTAATGGATTTAATGTCGCAGAGGGTCATTCTCGCTCAACAGGGCATTGCTGTCTTTAGATGTGACACCTTATTTTATTTACTCTTCTTTAATATTTATGTCGTTATCTATGGATGTATGGCAGTTCAGCCCAACAAAACAATATAGGCTTTGACAAGCATCCAATTAGAATACTTTGTCTGTATGCAACTGGAACTCATTGAGAGCCCATTAGTCAGCCGTTTTGTTACTGTTTACATCAGAAGCCAGTTGTTAATAAAAACAAATGAGCTAAAATTCTGTTTTTCATCCGGACACTCAATTAGCAGGACACTACAGCAGGGATTTGGCAGATAGTTATGAGGACCAGTCATTGCTTTGTGTTTGGTGTTTTATTAGTGACATATTAAAACACTGTCTTGGGCAGTCACAGACTCCAGTTGTCTTCGGGCATTAGGTACTTCCCTGAAGGCAGACTGTTTGGGGTTTTATTGCCTCTGTAGTGAAACCCAAAGAACTTGTTTATGACAAAGAGAATGTGTTGAATATATGTAAACAAGTTGAACTTCATGGTTTCAGAAGTGGTTAGCATTGGCAGTCATGTTGGTGGACAAAGAACAACAAAAATATTTTTGCACTTTTTATGGATCAGTGCCTGACATTAAGATCTTAAAAAGAGCTGCAACTAAACATTTTGTTTATTAACAACCAATCTGTTGACTATTTTCTTTGTATGATGTATTTCTTATTTGTCCAATGAAAAAGCAGGCCACAGTTTATTATACCCTTTCATCTTTCTAGAGCCAAATATAACATCTTTAAAAAAAACAAGCTACAGCGCATACACTTTAATGTATGACAAGGAACGCAGACATCTCTCGCATAGGTTGGAGCCTATAAATTTCCTTTACAAAAATGACTTCAATGATAGTTCATGTATGGTACAAAATGCCTTTCAGAATAAAGTTCATTGTAGTTAAATTAAATTGTTCAGCATTTTCATGCTACAGAAAAGGATTAGGGCAACTGAAATGTTTTTAGTTCTGACTTTTTTCTCAGAATTCTCAGTTCTTAGTTTTATGTCAGAACTAAATAAAAAATGTTTTTCCCAGTGCCTCTATCCTCAGCTGGTCATAGAACTTGATAAATATTTTCCCAGTTAGTAATACTTTCCTATTTCCCTACTACAGAGACAGCCTGTCTACATTTTGAATTGGATAAACAAGAATTTCTCTGCTTTCTGGGTAAACATTGCTCTCTGGTGGAGAATAAATGACACTGACCGGTGACTAAATTCCGATCTCACCTTGTAATGAAATGAGCTCTCTTAATAAAATCACTATTGCTATAATAAATGCATCCATATTGTTAGTATTGTAGACTAGAACTCAGACTGAAAGTTTGTCACATAATTCTCTCATGCTGACAAAAAACACATCATCTTAAATTCTAAATCCTGTCTCAAGTGTAAAGTTTAGAGCTGCAACACCCTGATGATTCATTTTCTTGAACACATGCCATCTCAGTCTGGTGTTAAGTGAAAGTAAATGATATCTTGGAGAGACATTGGTGTACAAGTGTTCTAGTATAATACATCAAAACTCTGCAATATACTGAATTTTAAACTATAGCCGTCAAAAAGCTACGCAGAAATACAAGACAAGACAGAAAGAGCTACAATCTGAACAGCAGATATTCATCCACATGCTGTACAGGATTTATAGATCCTGGAGGAGATCAGCACACACCTGATGCTAAGCTGCTAAATCTCTCGTCTCTGTTCAGGAAGAGCCAGAGAGGGGTTTTGCTGCCCTCTTCAGGAGGTAAAAATAAGTACACTTAAAAGACAAATAAATGTGTATACTTCAGTTGCTACCAAAAGAAAATCAAATTCTGTTATGGCGATTTAGAATTCTTCTTTATTGTTATTTGATTTATTTTTTCAGCATAGTTTTTAGTCTCTTATGCTCTATTTTTTTATATTTCTATCTACTGCTTGTTCATGCTTTTATTCTTTTACACCTCAGGGGGAAATACATTATGAACAAGGAGATTAACACATCCCTAAAAACCTTGGTAGAATGGGATCCCTTTCTATAGAAGCAGTACTAGTTCTAGGGGAGTGGTAAGGGGGCCCTTATGTCATTTCAGAAGAGTTGGTAACAGATTCCAGGAAGAGACATTTCTCATATGGTTCTTAGTCTTAACTTGGTTGTTACTCTCTTTATGTTGCTCATTGATGTAAAAAAAAATTCTTGCAATAGGTGTGCCTCTGTTATGAGTTAAACTGGCTTATTTCCATTGTTTCGCTGAGAATGGTTAGTACAGTATCTAAAAAGTATCCTCTTAGTGGGTGCCTCAGATAAGATCCCTACACTGAATAATACACGTGGATTTAGCCCTATTCTTATGAATAGTGTATGGCTTTATCTGCAAAGTGAACAGCTCAGGAGATGTACTGCCTGCAGGTGTGTAAAGAAGACACGATCTTGAAGAAACATTGTTCAAATTCTATTTAAAAAAAAAAAAAAACCCATAAAGACCCAGCATGAGATTTTATGAATCACACAAGCATGTAATATATCACTCCAACACTTGTTCTCCCTCTTGTGTTTCATTCTTAAGATTTGAGCTTTAAAATGATTAAGTCTTTCTCTGCAGGACACTGTGGGGGCTACGAGCAGCTCCTTCAGCAGCAGACTGAGACATCCAACCTGCAAGAAGGAGCGCTACCACAGGTCATTCATCCAAACTGCAGTCAGACTCTTTAAAAGCTATCACCACCTTGTAACTTACAATACCTCTTATGCATGAGAGTACGTCTATATGCACTTGTATGCGTATGTGATACTACATAACATGAATATGAATCCTTCCATTTACTCCAAACAGTCTGATTAATACCTCATCCGAAGAGAGCAATTTAATTTACTTTATCATGTACCTAGGCCAACTGTAAATAGTTGTGTCTCTGTTGTCTAGTATGGGTGACCTTTGATCTCTCTATTTGAGCTGTTGTAACAAACAAATTTCTCCCGGTGTGGGATCAATAAAGTTGATCTTGTCTTATAAATAAAACTTGTTCCATAAGCCATAACTTTACTTCCTGACTGGAGCTCTTTCTTTTGCCTATGAAGATGACTGTAGTTTTTAGAGGACAAACGTGTGGGCCGAGTGTGATGCTCTCACTCTGCCCACAGGAACTCTCTTGCTGAGTGACCGGTAGAGAGGAGGGAACACTGTGACCAGGACATGGCACATCGCACACCACCAGCTCCCACATACATTTCACACTGAAGGTTATACATCATCGGGCTGGAAGGGCAAAAATAACCTCAGCTGGTGTCCCGGATGTCAAGGATTATTGAGTTTCACTTTCAAATCAATAAGCTGAAAACAATAGTTGATGCGTTTCCTTTTAGGCTGAATTGAAACAAAGTTATTGTGATTTCCTTCATGGCTGTGACCGTTGGATGATTAATCAGTTGAACATTTTGGTCAGGGAAATGTTGTTTTAGTACATACTTAAGAACATTTTGGAACATTTTGGTGTTTTCTAAAAAAAGAATTTGCACACATTTTTTTTTATCAAGATATATTTCAAAATAAGATGTGAAAATAATCCAATGGTCCTTTGCT